CTCCCCAAGGCCGCAATTCTTCCTGTCAACCTCTGCACTTCTTTTTTACTCGTAAGTATGTTAGGGATTTTTTCAATGGCTTTAATATGCGCGGGATTAACTTCAATACCACGATTAGAAACAAGAAAACCCAAAAACTTACCTGATGAAACACCGAATACACATTTCTCAGGATTAAGTTTCATATTGAATTTTCACAGGATCTGAAACGTATTAGACAAGTGCAATATATGATCCCCTGAATATTGAGTCTTAACGAGCATATCATCTATGTAAACCTCCATAGTTTTTCCTAAATGTTCTTGGAACATTTTGGTTACCAATCTTTGATACGTTGCACCAGCATTTTTGAGACCAAAAGGCATTACTTTATAACAATAAGTCCTTCTGTCTGTTATAAATGAAGTTTTTTCTTCATCTAGGGGATCCATTTTGATCTGGTTGTACCCTGAATACGCATCTAAAAAACTTAACAACGCATGTCCTGCAGTAGCATCAATTAGTTGATCTATATGTGGTAATGGAAAAGAATCTTTAGGACAAGCTTTATTAAGGTCTGTGTAATCTACACAAACTCGCCATTTGCCGTTCTTTTTCGGCAGTACAACAGTGTTGGCTAACCAATTAGGATACTTTACCTCACGGATAGACCCAATTTTTAATAATTTTTGGACCTCATTTTGAATCACCTGATTTTTGAAAGTCCCCTGCTTTCTCTTCTTTTGTTTGACAGGTGGATATGATGGGTATTCATTTAACTTGTGAGGCATTACTTCCGGTGGTATTCCTATCATATCAGAATGGGACTAGGCAAAACAATCCATGTTAGTTTTTAAAAATTCAATCAACTTACCTTTCATGTCGTGGCTCAGGTTGGCCCTAATGTAGACTTTCCTTTCAGGCCATTGTGTAAATAATTCTACAGCCTCCAGTTCTTCCATCGTTATTTTAATATTTTCATTTTCCTCTGGTTCCTGAATGGAATCGGGCCTTGAGTCCACATCTGTTCGCCCTTGTTCAGTTGAGGTTTGAGTTGTGGTATCCTTAACTGGATTCTGTAACTGCTATTTTTCTTCATTTCTCATATTTGAATCTGTTACAGAGTTGATGCTCCTGGATGTCTGTTGATCTCCACGGATTTGACGTATTTCCCATGGTGATGGAAATTTGATAACTTGATTTAAGGTAGACGGAACGACATCCATCTTGTGGATCCATGGTCTCCCGAGAATCATATTGTAAGCCATCTCCATCTCTACCACCTGAAATTTTGTTTCTTTGACAATCCCTTCTGTGAATATAGTAAGTATTATCTTCCCTTTTGTTACAACACTGGAATTCTCGATTCCAGACAATGTATGCGCCTTTGGTACTAGCTTATCTTCAGCTTGCATCTCGTACAGTACTCTTAGCAGAATAATGTTCACGGAACTACCTGGATCAATCAAAACTCGTTTCACATTAGTATCATGTACAAGTAGAGATATTACTAGTGCATCATTATGTGGAGTTAATACGCTATCCGCATCTGCATCATCAAACGTAATACTTTCTTCTTCTAAAACATGTCGCACCCGCTTCCCGTGGGTAATTGTGACTTTAGAAACTTTATTGCCTGCTGTGTACATTACGCCATTGATCTCTTCGCCCCCGCTTATAACATTAACTGTTCTTTTGGGAGAAGAAGTTTTAGGGGGCTCCTGCCTATACTTCATGTATGCTTTCTTACCTTTCTCACTGAATAATTCGATGAGATACCCTTGCTTTAATGGATGATCAACTTCACCTTGTAGCAACTCACAGTCTGCCGTTCTATGACCATGATCGTTGTGAAATTCGCACAGTTATCAGGATTGCACCTATTTGGATTCGATCTCATTCTTTTGGCCATCGCACCTTATCACCCATGCTTCTAAAAACAACTACGAGCTCGGAAGTGCTTACATTAAAATTATAACCGCCACATCTTGCCTTCAAGTTTATATCATCATCCCGTGACTCTCGCGTGTTTTGATCATTCCCAAATCTTGATGATGAGCCCGACTCTCTATTTCTCGATCTATGATCGTACCTTGAATTGTCCTGTTTTGATCGTGAATCTTTTCCCGCTGGGCCCATATATGGTTCGTATCTGTTTTTACCGAACCTTTTTTCAGTTTTCGCCCGTCTCGAACTCACCTTTTCCTCTTTTTGAGATCGTGAGATAATATCTTCTTCTATCCTTAGCTTCGTGCTATACCTGTTATAAACGTCATTCCACGTTGTTGCTGGGAATTCACGAAGACTTTCCTTGAGTCGCCTCGTGGCTTCTGAGCTTTTTTCATTTAAATTACTAGTGAAGGCTATAGCTGCCCAATTGTCTGGTACACGTGGTAACATCATTCTTTCATGCTGGAACCTATCCACGAACTCTCTAAGCAACTCTGAGTCCCTTTTGCTTGATTTTGAAAATATCTTTCATTCTTTTTTCGACTTTTTGAGCTCCCAAATATTCTTTGAAATGAATCTGCAAGCTCAGCAAAAGTATTTATGGAATTTTCGGGTAAAAGAGAATACCATATTAATGCTCCCTTGGTGAGTGTTTCACCAAATTTTTTGACCAACACTGATTCAATTTCTTGCTTTGTTAAATCACTCCCTTTCACACCAGTTGTGAATGTAGTCACGTGATCTCGAGGATCAGTTGTGCCATCATACTTTGGAATATCAGGCATTTTGAACTTCTTCGGGATCGGCATCGGAGCTGTACTAGGCTTCCATGGTTATTGTGAGTACTTATCCATGTCTATTCCTTTGATTACATGTGGCACTCCAGGTATTTGCTCTATGCGATCACTTTGCTCCTTGAGTTATTTTTGCAAGGTTAGAACCAAATTTTGTAAATCAGAATTAACTATATTACCTGGTTTGTCATTGCGAGATTCGCTTGGAGTTCCACCAATGCCTGAGTTAACGATCCCAGAACGTGGGTTTTCCAAATTGTTTTGATTCGAAGTGGGTGTTGGTTGTACAACTGGCAATTGGCTGGTAAAAGCACAGAGAGCATTGTTGAGAAATGAGATTTTTAAGGCATCATCGAGTGCTTGTTCGTTCGCAACTCCAGCACTTTGATTTGCCTCGAAGCCGTTTTGGTTTAAAATCCCATTATTTGTTTCAGAGACTTCTAGTGTTCCTTCTCGTGACTGACGTTGCGAATCACGAGGTGAGGGAAGTGGGGTCCTATTACCCGCATCATTCTCCTGATTTTGAAGATCTTGTTGGTTGTTGTCGTTGTTTTTTGACATGGTAAGTTTTTTGATGAGAAAATTGACTTAAGAAAGCAAAACGATTATCAGAGTCCTAGCAACGGAACCAATTTGTTTAACCAAATTTAGGGATTTCGGTCAAAGCTTTATTTTTGAAGAACTCGGGTTACTGATAATCTAAAATAAAATGAATAAAGAAAATTGACTTTAAGAATAATGGAATGAGCAGTAAGAAAGCAAAGTAAATTGATATATTCTGATAATATTTCATGTCCTTATAAATGATTCGTCTTCTCCTTTTATAGCTATTTCTAAGTAATACGGTTCGTTCCTTTTATAATTGAGTCATTATTGTCAATGAATGGCATTTAATGACATTTAATGTAACGTTACAATCAACAATCATATTTGATTCAATACAGATTCCTTAACGTTTCCGTATTTAATACCCGACAGTAAGTATCTATTCCTTATTTGCTACCAGATTCATTCTCTTTCATCATAAAGAGGTTCGAGCACCTGTCCTCCTTGCCTTTTATCTGAACGTCTGCTCGTGCCTCTTTGATTATTCTTCATCACTTATTCTTCTTTAATTGGTCCACGTGTCATGATGTGTCGTCTTATAATAAATTCCATATATAAACTTAATTTTTCCCAATACAGTCTGTACAGTGAATAATAATGGAAAAAATGACATTGTATAGCCGCTTTCAAAATAATAGCTGAAAAAAATATATATTTTGTATATATATATATATGTTATATACAAAAAATATACAAATTTTATATACTTTTCCGGCTATCAAATATAAATAGTTTCTGGCGCGAGTTAAAAGTAATAATACCCCAATAAAATGGTTTAAGTTTACCTCTAAATGTTGGCAAAATGATGATTAGGCAATGGAAACTCATGTTAGACATAAACTACATTATATAAACCTAGCACATAGCCAAAAAATAAAATAAATTAGATGGTTTGGTCATGTTTTACGTGAATCTTCAAATACATCGGTTTATAGCTATGAAATCATATTAAGTGAAAGTGCTAAAGGAAACTAGGTAGGCAAAATAATATGGAAGAAAATTGTCTCAAAAAATTTACATTAATCTCTTGGAATTTGTACAGTAATAGCTTAAAATATGGCACAACTGAAAAAACAAGTTATATATAGGCAATACCAATTAGTTGAGATAAAGTTTTACTCATATTGATATGTTTACCTTAGGCCTAGTGTCTCTTTTAGTACTATGGTAGATTTATATGTCAGTAATAAATATATAGTTCTTCTAGTATTTTTTAATTTTATTTTTTATATATTAGTTTAAGATGAAAATTTACGTAATCTACCTCAACTTTTTGGGAATTGGGGAATGAGAATTATTGGTAGTAATTGTTGTTTGAATGAGTTTGACTCTTTTATTTATTCAATCTACAATAAGAGAAACATTTATTTAGTCAATCTACATTAAAAGAAACCTATTTATACGCTTTTCTGTACTTTATAAATTATAACGGGCACCAAATAAATGTCTTAAATTTCTTTCCTTTTCCTTATATTGACAAAATTCCACCAATGACCAAAAACAAAAGAACGAGACAAAATCAGTTATTTAATTATGACGCAGTAATTTTGCAAAAATCTTAGTAGTAATCTTATTCCTATCCAGCTACGCATTTAAACACACATGCTTAAAGTTTAAGCAAATATTGAAAACATACACGTCTGTCTATATATAAATCTTGAAATAAAAAAAAATAAAAAAATTGGTTCTATTCTTGGAGTAGTCTTCAAAGTTTTTGACTTGAATTTTGCAAAAATCTATTGCTCCAATGAATTATTTTCAAAGATTGCCAGAAGGCTGCATATTGGAAATTCTTTCACGTACAACTCCAGTAGATGCAGTAAGATCATGCATTTTATCAAGAGGATTCAAGACTGCTTTGGAATCAGAAATTATTTGGGAAAGATTTTTGCCCTCTGATTATCAAGAAATAATTGAAAGATCAGAGTTTCCTTCTGTTTGTACAACCAAAAAAGAGCTTTATTTTAGTCTCTGTGAATATCCCATTCTTCTTGATGGAGGCAAACTGGTAAAAACCCTATTTTGAAGTGCTTATCTTTTATGCTTTCGTTGCTTTATTTGTTCTGTTTTTTATTTATTTAATGAAGGTTGTATTTGGTCCGCTTCTGGGACTGGACTATTTTACCATATCTACAGTATCTCTTGCTGGAAGAGGGAGCTTTGAGTAGTTAAGGTTGTCTGTGACCTATGAGTTTGAGCCGTAGAAGCAGTCGCTAATGTTTATATTAGGGTATTGTTTACATCACACCCTTCGGGATGCGGCCTTTATGCGGATTGGTCACCGGGCTGCCCCTTTTACTATCTCCTGCCAACATAAATCGTGTAACTCTTATGTCATAGATCCCAAGTTCGAGCCGTGTAAGCAGTTAGTAATATTTGTATTAGGGTAGTAATGTTTGCATTAGGGTAGACTGTTTACATTACACCCATCGGGATCGCCCTTTCAATATGAACACGGGATGCTTTGTTCACCGGGCTGCCCCTTTTACTATCTCCTACTGACATAAATTGTGCAACTCTTATGCCACTAAGATTTAGGGAAATGGAAAAAAAAACTCAGCATATTGTCTCGGCAGAATTTGATCCCTAATTTTCACCTAAATTTCATAGGTCACACATTGTGCTGTTGTGTGTGTGTGTTTTTGTTTTTTGGGCTTCTGTAATATTTTTATTTTTTTTGGAGAGAGGGCATACTGAATGAGATTCTTTTTAATAAAGTATAAAGTCGATTTACTAGCTAAAAGTTAGTTTGCTCAACCAACAAGTTACGAGGTTGTTCTTTGATCATATTTTTCTTAAATATTTTATAAGTATTTTGAATTATAACTTATTATGATTTATAATCTTTTTTATGTAGTTCTCAAATATGTATTTATAAAACTTGAAGAATCTATATCTAAATTGACGGTTCAAAATTAAGGACTTTGACCTTGTACTCAAGTAGAATGGATCGGAGGGAGGACTATACATTAAATTTGAAATTGAAAGAGTAATATTCTTCTATTTGTCCTGTTTTTTTCTCAGTTAATTAGCCAAACCATGATTCTTGTGTAAATGCATCTCTTACTCAAACTCTTTTTCAGAGTTTTTCACTGGATAAGCACAGTGGGAAGAAGTGTTTCATGGTAGCACCAAGAGAGCTTATAATTTCGTGGGGCGATAACTTAAACCATTGGCAATGGAAGCCTCATCCGGACTCTAGGTTTGTCTCTTTTTATTTTCATTGCTTATTCGTCTATGGTTTTCTTCCACCCTTCCTCCTTCCAACTCCTGCAAGAATATTTAGTTAATTTTCTATCGAAAAAGGGTAAAAGATACTCCTGGACTATAAGAAATAGCTTAATTTTACCCTTCGTTATATTTTGAGATCACTATGAGCTCAACCTGAAATATAATATAGGGTAATTTTGAACCACTGCCAAAAGTTGAATACGGACATTTGAACTTTTTTCCTGGATTATTTTGGCACGTGGAATATGTTGCTGAAGCCAAATATATATAGTGTGAATAAGTCACAACTACTATACCAAAAATTATGACAGTCACCAAATAATAAATAAGACAATAAAGCAACAATAAAAGGAACACCAGAATTTTCGAGGTTCGGCCAACTTTGCCTACTCCTCGGACACAACCAATATTTTATTCCACTCTAAAAATACAAGTGAAATAATACTAAAGAGAGAAGATACAAATGTCTTAAACAGATGAGAAGGCAAATGAGAGGTGTGTTTAAATCCTAAACATTAGGCCTTCTTTTATAGGGGGAAAAATCCCCCCCAAACTCTTCTCCCAACCGATGTGGGACTTTGGCATTTTGCCAAACTTCAACATCTATTATATCCTTCTTTTATGTTGGATAAGTTTATAGAGACCCTACTTAATTGATCAGATCTTTGACATGTGCGTTCTATGATGTTGCGTGCATTGACAAAGTCAGAAAATTCAATTTGCTAGTGGGCTATGCAAGGATATTCGAAGTCTATTTTCTGATCAATAACAAGTACTAATATTTACCCTATACACAACACAATTTTTTGGCGAAGGGTGTTCAATATATAGCTTCGCCCCTGGTTGCATGGGTGTGCATGCTAGAGAACAAGGGGATGAAACCATCTGAAGCTTAGAATAAGAAGCAGGTTTATAAACCTGTTGTATCTACTAAACAGTTTACTTATTGTGGATATAAGGATAGGAAGAGTGAATTAGAAGAACACCTGTATTTAGTGTTTGTACCGAACAACTAAAAGAATAACATGAATAAAAGAAAGATCCCAGGAACAATGGATGAGCAGTTAGC